TTAAAATTCTCCATCATCTTTTTTAAAGTGTATATGTGTGTTTTAAAGAGCAGGATAGCTCGGTTAACTAAACCCCTATGTTAAGACAGGATATGAAGGCAAATTGTGCGTGCGTGGGTGCGTTCCAGTCAGCATTGACTCCTGGTGACTACCTGGACAAGTCCCTGCAGTTTTCTTGGCAAGATTTCAGAAGTGTTTTGCCATCAATACGTGATTTTAAAAGCTGTGAATAAGTCCTCCTAAGGATGAATCTTTCCCTGAGTTCATAATGCATGTTTCTATCTGTAATACATTGGCACATTCAGCTGTCATGCAGAACCCCTTCTCCCCCCAAGATATCAGGGTTCAGCATTTCAATGCTCAATACAGGTACATTGGGACAATTGTTCCTCAAGGAAGATTGCAGTTTAGGAACAAATTAGTACTGATTTCCAAATAAATTCCATCCGTTGGCCTTTCAAAAGAAGGTTTTCCAGAGAGGTTGGACCTCAGAAGATCAAAGGGTATAAGGCTGGGAAGGGATCCTGAAGATCATTTAGTCCAATCCCCTGCCCAGTGTAGGGATCTACTGCTAAGGTGCCTGGAACAGATGGCCAACCAACTTCTCTTTAAACACCTCCAGCGAGCAGAGCCTTCACCTTCCAAGGCACTCTGTCCCATTCTTGAAGAGCTCTTCCTGATGTCCTACCCAAATCTACTTCCTTGGCATTTAAAGCCATTATTTCTTGTCCTTCCTTCTGGAACAAGTCTGCATTATTCTGCCTCGTCCTTCACACGACAGCTGTTCAGTTACTTGAGGACAGCTATCATGTGTCCCTGGACTCTTCTCTTTTGCAAGCCAAGCATATCCAACACAGTTTCTCATAGGGTTGTTGTTGTTCTAGGTCCCTTTTTATGACAGCTGATTCCCTTTCTTTTCATGTTCCAGGATGTCAATGGCCTTCCTAAAATGTGGTGCCCAGAATTAGATCCTAGGTGTCCAGTGTAGAATAGGCTTATATTAGCCTTAATCGGTGAGGCTGAACATGCAGAGTTTTTTTTTATAGAGAGCCATTTCTGTAGATTCTTTCAGCAGCCATTAGAATGTTCTAATTAGCCAGACCAGTGTTTCTCACCCTCAGCAACTTTGAGATGTGTGGACTTCAATTCCCAGAATTCCCCAGCCAGTTGAGGAATTCTGGGAGTTGAAGTCCATACATCTTAAAGTTGCTGAGGGTGAGAAACACTGAGCTAGACCATTATCATTATCACCACTATGTGGATAAGTCACTGAGATCCCACAACAAAAGCTTATTTAAGGCCTCTTCAACCAAGTGGTCTTGCCCACAATGGCTGCATTCACACAACACATTTCGCCTGATTAACACAAGCTAGGTTAACTGGAACCAAATCTAGGATGTTACAATAATACAGCTCATTTAAATGACTTGATTAAATCCAACTACAGCCTAAAGCCAGGTTAGTACAATATTAAGTATTAGGTATGTTTGCCACCTTGAAATGACAAAAAATAAAGGCAGAATATAATAATAATAATAATAATAATAATAATAATAATAATAATAATACCCTTGTTGTATTCATGTAACATGGGATGCCCAAACAAATAAACCATACTATGACTTAACCCAATTGCTTGATTTACAGAGCATGCTAAAGTTATGACTAAGTTCTCACATGGACAGAACTACTGCTTCTATGTATCATGGCCCATGAATGTAAGAAATATTTTATGAATGGCTACTTGCAACGGTCTACACCCCAGATTTAATTTTCCTCTGTTCTCAAGTCCCAAACTTGCTGGGCACATGCAGTACAATAAGCTATAATGTGCTATATCAAGCCAGTTACCAACATTTGTACATTCTGCTTTATAATTTGCTATGTCATATGACCTCTGGCCAATTATGTGTTTTTTCAATAAACCCTGGTTGAATAACCAATGGTTTTGCACTCTGTGCAAGCCTAGTTCTCCACACATAGCAGGACCGTTTGTGGATCTGATAAATTGGCTGCAATGTTTAAGCCGGTGGCAGCAACGGGCCAATCTTGCTTGTACTTAAAAGCTTGTACTTAAAAGCTAAGTAAGAACTTGGATGGGAATTCTAACAGCATAAGAAATTGAAAAAAGTCTTAGAAGAAGTCAGTGACAATCCACTTGTGTATTGTTGCCAAGAAAACCACATGGACATGGATAGGTGGTTTGACTTAAAAGGTACTTTATCTTTTACAATATGCTAGAACAAAATATTGGTACATTTGAACTTTGGTGTTGGAGAAGACTCCTGAGAATACCATGGACAGCCAAGAAAACAAACTGATGGATCATCGAACAAATCAACCCAGAGTTTTCACTCGAGGCATAAATGACCAGACTCAAATTATCCTACTTTGGACACATGATGCGAAGACCTAGCTCTCTGGAAAAGGCTCTAATGCTTGGAAAGGTAGAAGGCTTAAAGAGAAGAGGATAACCAGCAGCAAGACAATGGGAGACTTGAAAGAACAGGTTAGGGATAGATTGCCACAGAGAAAATTATGTATGTGGTTTCTAGGAGTTGAAAATGACTTGATGGCACGTAATCAGTCAATCAAGAATAAAATAAATTTGTTCACCTCCAAGGTACCATCAAACAGCATGTTGTTTTGGTGGCCACAGACTCCCATAATTCCTCCTCGAGAAACATGACTCTGCTAGTTGGGGAAGTATTGGAGTACATACTTGGAAACTGTGTGCTGTAGGGAAGAGCATCTTTTGGAGTTGTGGTGGGTAAAACACAGTGACCCAAAGAGACAGTGTTTGCATCAGTCTGAGAAGCTCTTCTGAACAAAGCAACAAGAGAGTGAGGCTGCCAGCTCTGGCAGCAGACCAAGAGTGGTGCCTGGCCTGGAACTTTCCCTTCCTGAAGTCGATTTCTCTCCTAGGAGCCTGCAGGAGGAGCCAAGATCCGGAGAAAGAGAGCAGGGAGGACTTTGTCCCCTTCCGTAGTCTGTGTGCTGGTGTGTGTGTTTGGCAGAGGACTGGACAACATCAAGCAAATCCCCTGCCCTGCAAAGGATGTGGACCAGCTTGAGCACGGTCACCGAACCCACCTCCCCAAGGGGCAGAAGCGGTGGGGCCCGGACCCGGTTCTGGGTACTGGCAGTGGGAATATCTGTCGGCTTGTTCCTTCTGGGATTCCTGATCGGTAGGACTGAGGCTGCGCAAGATGGTTATTCCACCTCCCCCTCCCCAATGAGGAAAGGACTTGTAGAAAAGTTCTGTGTGTGTGTGTGTGTGCGTGCGTGTGCGCGCATGTGTGATCTGTCACTCATTAAGGAAAGGGAAATTGCATTCCTGTGCTTGGAAAATGTTAGGAGTGGGGTGGGAACGATCCAGAGTTAGACTGAGTTTCTCGAGAAAACAGGCATGTCGCTTTACAAATGCTCTTTAGCTGTTGCTGGGGAAAGGGGCGGATAAAAGTTTATGCTTCCCTCTCTTGCAGCAACCACGCAAAGAAAAAGACAAAGACGGGACAGAAAAAGTGGGGGGGGGGAAGAATGGATGGAATGAATGAAGCCACAGTATTAGCTTAATTAGCGTTGAGTCAAATCCGACTCCTTGTCAGGTCCTGGTTAACAGCAATGCAAAAGTGGTTTGCTGACTAGCTTGGGGATGTAATGGGGACTCCTGACACTGGGGGATGTTGGTGCCCTGAGGATGCTCTCTCCACTTTTTAACTCCATTTGTAGTCTTTTTAACGTTGTTTTGTGTTTTTAACTGTTTTTATGCTTTTTATGCGTGAGCCACCTAGAGTCACTGGTTGAGATGGGCGGCATGCAAGTTTGATTTATAAAATAAATAAATAAAAATAAATTGCCTTCACCCAAGATCTTTTCTTCTGACATGTCTTAGTCTAGGCTACAGCCCTGGGGGCTCCTGGGGGGCTCCCATCCAAATACAGATCAACTTCAGGCCTGCTTAACATTTTGAGAGCTGGCAAGGTCAATCTAGAACTGCTACCTGCTAAGATGTATTAAGGGAGAATGTGGGTTCCCTTAGTTCCCCACCTCTAAACTCTGCTATAATAATCAGACATGCAGGGCAGGGTAGGGGAGGCATTCAGCTCCATACGGATTTGAGTCTAGGCCTGCCAGATTTGAGCATTCACAAAATGTAGCTTCGGAGGATCAGATGCTGAGGGCTAACACCAATGCCACTTTCATGTTTGGCTTCTGGGCGCACTAGAAGCATTTGAAAGTTTGGGAATTCTCTGTGCAATTATTTGGGAATAAACCCCATTTAAAAACAGTGGATAACATTTTTCTTTTTTCTTTTAAACAAAATTATTTATTAATCATTTTTTAAAAGAAGAGAAAGAAAAAGAAAAGAAAAGAAAAGAAAAGAAAAGAAAAGAAAAGAAAAGAAAAGAAAAGAAAAGAAAAGAAAAGAAAAGAAAAGAAAAGAAAAGAAAAGAAAAGAAAAGAAAAGAAAAGAAAAGAAAAGAAAAGAAAAGAAGGGAGGGAGAGAGGGAGAGAGGGAGGGAGGATGGACATGTGAAAAGAGAAAAGGAAAAAGGAAAAAATAATATTGATGCAGAAATATATCAGGAACTGGACAAAGGAATTACCAAAATTGTAGTTAGCGCTCAGTATATCATTGATGAGAAATTAACTATAAAAACAAAGTATATTAAATTATTTCAACAATATAAGAAAGGGTTTGAATCTCTGAGCTGAGTGCCAAAATTTCCACTATTTGATATTTAAAAATGAAAGAGAAAGCAAGAAAGAAAGAAAGAAAGAAAGAAAGAAAGAAAGAAAGAAAGAAAG